CTCTAGGGTGCAAGTTTCTCACCATTATGGTGCAAGAAACGAGTGCGTTATTTGGGGCTGGAATATTTTCATGGCACTCATTCCTTTTGCGCGTTCCAGTCCCACCTTCGGCATGAAAGCTGACTTTGGGCCAATCACCAGGAGACTGAAGTTCTAGTCCCGCCTTAGGCATGAAAGATCTCTGGGTGACCCTGGGCCAACCATTCTCTCAGCCCAACCCACCTCACAGGGTTGTTGTGGGGAAAATAAGAGGAGGAAGGCGTGTTGAATAGGTTCACTGCCTTAAGTTATTTGTAAAAAGAAAATAAAGGCGGGATACAAATGTATACATAAAAATAAATGGAGTCACTAAGACTCTACATTGATTGGATGGCACATCATTACAACTAATCACACATGACTTCCGGTTCCGGTTCGCGGCGACTCAGGTCGTGTCTGGAGACTTGCCTCCACACCGGCTGGGGTTTTTTTGCGCCGGTAGACCCCTTGTGGGTCGAAAGTCGCCCTGGAGGGGCGACCACCGAGGAGGAGGCTTGCTAGAGACTGCGGGAGGGTGGCAGCTTCTCTCGTGGCTCCAGCTATTTCCTGAGGGCTGACGGAGCAAAAGATCGTCCTGTAAGATGGCCGATTACCCTGCTGCACCAGCCGAAAGTCACAGCAATATCTAAGCGTGAATAGACCCACTGCGGATGATCCGGGTGAGACCCCTTCTCCTCCTCTTTTCACCCTACTTTGTTCTTCTTTTTGCCTGTAAAAGCTCTGTTGGAATCATTTCCCCGTCTTGAAAAAGCAGCTTTGGTATGTGTGGGAAGAAAGGTTAAAAGGTTAAACAAAAAGGTTAAAATAAAAAATTTTAAAGACTACACTTTATTCTTATCTACTTTGGGGTACAGAAAAAACCTTTTTTTAAAGAGCTCTACTATCATATTATACTGGAAGATTGTTTCTTTTTCTACCTTTTTCTCTAAAAGATAGAAAAAAAGGGGGGGGGGAATGGTGTCTGGAAAAGATTTTTTAACCTATTGAGGACATCCACTGGTGAAAAGTTAATATTGTAACTGCTGGTTACTGTTTGGAGATGAGATGGACTTGGTCTTCAAATTACTTTTGAAGAGAAAAGATAAGCGGATGCAGCTGTGAGAACTGTGGGGGTGGATACTGCTTTACTTTTATTGAATACAGCCTCCACTAAAAGAAAAAAAAGGGACTCTCTTCAATTATTATTAAAATGGAGAAACCTTATTCACAATTACAACTAATCACACATGAATGGTTAGTTTAAAATGGAATATTTACTTAACTTCTTCAAACTTGGCTTAACCCATTCACCAGCAGGACGTAAGAACATCGAAATAGCCAAGAATATACTTTAAATTCAACCCAATTCAATGCAATTTAAGATTTGTTCTTTATGTCTCTTATCTACTCAGCTACAGCCACATCCATGGGCAAGCACACACTTCATTTTTGATAAAATATTCAAATGACCATCACCAAAGCAAAAATTAAAAAAAAACAAAACGACACCCAAAACACCCAGTCGAGTCAGTTTCCCAAATGCTGCAATAGCAAATCAACAGATCAGTCTTTGAGACAGATGTAAATTCTGACCAGTTGGGAGATTTTAGGGAGACTCTTTGATTCTCTCCTCGAAAGTGGTGCAAGTATCACCTTTACCAGAAGGCCATTTGTGAAACTGACAGTACCGCAGACCAAGAAATGGGCACAGCAAAACTTGACTTACAGATGGGTTGCAAGCTTTTCCGTTAGAAATGTAAGCTGGTGAAAGGGTTAAAAGTGACAAAAAACACAGTTCAAAACCAACTTGCCTCTTCTGCCTAAAAATGAAATACGGGTAGTCCTCGATTTACAATTATTTGCTTAGTGACCGTTTGAAGTTACAAGGCACTGAAAAAAGTGACTTACGACCATTTTTCACACTTAGGATTGTTGCAGCGTCCCCCTGGCCTTGTGATCTAAATTCGGACGATTGGCAACCGGCTCATATTTTAGGAGGTTGCAGTGTCCCAAGGTCACCTTTTGTGACCTTCTGACAAGCAAAGTCAATGGGGAGTTCAGATTCACTTTACAACCGTTTTACTAACTTAACAACTGCAGTGATTCCCTTAGCAATGGTGGCAGGAAAGGTCGTAAAAAGGGGCAAAACTCAATGAACAATTGTCTCACCCTTAGAAACAGAAATCTTGGGCTCAGTTGTGATTATGAGTCGAGAATTGCCTGTACTGGACTGGCTTCAACCTGGCTGAAAAACGTTTGAACTCACTGAGTTAAGTGTATAGATATCCAGCAAACCCATCATGCCTAACACGTTAACATTATTCACAGCATAAAAACAGCAATT